AAGTGTCAGCTAGGCCCAGTGGAAGGACACCCCACCCCAGGGGAGGGGAAGGTGCTCTAAGGCTGTGCCTGGGACAGACGTCCCCCGCCCCTGACTGCAGCCTCCTGCTCAGAATCGCAGTCTCAGCTGCTTCGTAACAGTAGCCCCTTGTGGCTAACGGGGATTCCTGCAGTTCCCATACTCCAGCCCGGAGGAGGGGGAGTGTGAGGCAGGCCCTGTGGTCAGGAGGGCCTGTGCCGGGCGGGGGCAGCAGGCATGGCCTGAGATTAGGCCTTGTGCCTGGCACCTGTCTCAGTCCTCTTAGGGTCCCCTCACCGGAACAGGAGCCACCACAATGCACATCAGCTTAGGGACAGCTCTGGGTGCCAGCCTGGCCAAGGCCAGTAACAGACCAGTCTAGAGGCTCAGTCCTTGTCTCTATTGGGCTCAGCAGACCCCTATTCGGATGCCTCACAGCTCCACCGGGAATGGAGCTAGGGGGGCCCTCCCCCACCTGGCTGCCCTCCCACTGTCCCCAGTTGCAGGAACCCACCAGGAGGGTCCTTCCACCACCCACTCTAGGCACCTCAGAGCACCCCACAGAGTGAGGGGACCTGTAGTCCTGCTGGCCAGGACCCCGCCCTGCCTTGCTGCCCCAGGCCAGTTCCTGCTTCTCAGGAAGTGACCTCCGGGCCCTGCCTCTGGAAGCCACCCGCCTGGAGGTCAGGAGCCTGGGGCGCCTTCTGCAACCTGAGGCTGCTGCTCAGGGCGTGATGGGAGGGAGGCCCAGAGGACGGTCGCAGCGGCCGCATGAAAGGGGCTATACACCGCTCACGCAGACCCAGACTGGCACCTGCCCCGGCCACCTGCCCCGGCCCTAACCCAGGGTCCGGAGGGCCTGGCAGGGGAGCAGGGCTGCGAGCCCCGTCTGACTCCAGGGCCCTAGCTCAGAGGAACTGGAGCCGGGCCGTGAGAGAGTGTGCCAGCGTGTGGGGGTGTGACTAGGGTGTGGGATCTCAGGTGTTGTAAGGGCAGGGGTGCGTGTGAGCGTGTCAATGTGGAGGTGTCTGGGCCGGCGCAGGACGAGAGTGGAGGAGGCCTCGTGGGAATTAAATGTGTACACACGTGGGATCTGCCTGTGGGCACTGTGGGTGTCAGTGCAGGCGTGTGAGGTGGCTGCGGGTGGAGGGGTTGTGTAGCTGTTGTGAATGTGCAGGTGTGGGGGTGGGGGTGTTACGAGGGTGTCTGCAGGTGTTTGCATCAGGGTGTGGTGAGTGTGGGGGAGTTGTGTGTGAGGAGCCAGGGTCACTGGGGCTGGGGCTGGGGTGCAGGGAGGCAAAACAAGCCCTGCCCGTGCGCAAGGCCCTGAGACTGCACTTGCCCCCACCCCCCGCCCCCGCCCCCAGATGGCTCTGTACTTCTGCTCGGGGGTGCTCCGGGACCCCGCCCAGTTCTGGCACTACGCCCTCAACATGCCGCTGTACACTCACTTCACGTCCCCGATCCGCCGCTTCCCCGATGTCCTGGTGCACCGCCTGCTGGCTGCTGCACTAGGTAAGCCGTTCCCCACCCCCACACCTTGCTGTGAGGCCTGCTTGCCATCCCCAAGCCTCAGCTCCACTGGGGCCTCCCAGAAGGGGGTTAAGGGGATCCCCCACTCCCCACCCCTGCCAACACTGAGCCCTGCCCTCAGGATACAGGGCGTTGCTGCACCTGCAGCCTGAGGCCCTGCAGAAGCAGGCTGACCACTGCAACGACCGCCGCATCGCCTCCAAGCGCGTGCAGGAGCTCAGCACCAACCTCTTCTTCGCCGTGATGGTCAAGGTGCAGACCCTACCCCTACCCCCAGAGGGCCCCTCACAGCACAGCCCACCCTGTCCCCCTCCTCAGTGTCCCTCACTGGCCAACTCTCAGGAGCCCAGACCCGGCTGTGTGGGGCCTAAGGTCCCCACCTCTACCCTGAGCCAAACCTGCCCCTGCCTGCAGGAGTGTGGCCCCCTGGAGTCGGAAGCCATGGTGATGGGCGTCCTGAACCAAGCCTTCGACGTGCTGGTGCTGCGCTATGGGGTGCAGAAGCGCATCTACTGCAATGTGAGTGCCCGGCGGGGGTTAGCCCCAAGCCGCCCCCCTCCCCTGGAAGCCAGGCACAGTCCAGCAGAAAGCCTGTCCCTCAGACACTGTGCCCAGAACTTCACATGCTTGGGGCTGCCCTGCCACCACCACCCCAGCTGAGGGGGCAATAGGCTGGGGGCTCAAGGTTGATCACCACAAGGGGTGCTGTACCCTTACTTAGCCGAGGGCACAGCTTGTCGGGGTGCCCTGCCTTGCCCCCCTTCCCAGAACCAAGCCCGTCCCATGGGCGTAACAAAAAGCAGGCTAGGGTGGGGTGGTGGGTCAGGTGGGTCCTCTTCCCCTAAGACTAGGAAGCCAGAGAAGACCTGGCTGCCAGCACTCTACCTGTGGCTGGAGAGGTGAGGGTTTGTTCTAGAAGGTTTGAGCATGGTCCCTGGCTGTTCTGGAAGCAGCTCCCTAGAAAGCCAGGGAAAGACCACCCCACCCTGTGTCCTGCATGCCCCACCACCACCACCACCACCCCCGTGCCTTGCTCTACAGCAGGGCGGCAGCCCTTAGAAATGGCAGCCTGGGAAACCCAAAGCCATGAGTAGGCCACGGGAGATCCCCTTGCAGAGAGCCAGTCAGGGTGCGATGTAGCAACAATGAAAAATACAACTTTCCT